AGGGCGCCCTTGGTGGTCTCACAGGTTAGGTGATGGCAGCACCCAAGCAAGAGAATTCAGTGTCACAGGAAGCCAGACAGCAATGAGGGGGTCCAGCTCATGCTTCTATAGCAGCTCCCTCTGTGGGAACTGACGGGGGTCCCACAATAACCACCTTAATGCCTCTGAGAGCAGCGCCCCTTCTGACCTAAGAACTCCCCAATAGGTCCCCACCTTTTTTAAAGGTCAAACGCCTCTCAAAAGTACCACTCTGAAGACCAAACTTCTGACCCATGAACCCTGAGGGGACAAACCACATCCTAACCATAGTACAAGGTGTAAGTGTTCAATAAATGCTAACTATCACATTAGTCTGGAAATTGCCTTTGCCACTCGATGCCAATACAGACACAGGTCATTTATTTTTTGGTAGAACTCTGTAATATTCCGTGACTTGTTCATCCGTTTCCTCATTTGAGAAACTTCTGGATTACTTTCATTTTGGTTCCCTCCTCCCCCGTGCCCACCACCCACCATGGGAGCAGTCTTATAAATCAGCAGATTTTAATATTTTGTCAATATGATGGATTTTAAAACAATAGCTTGCTTCTACTGTGATTTGCATTTCTCTAACAGAATTGAGCATCTTTCCTTACATTTATTGGCTATTTGAAGTTCATTTGTAAGCATTATTCACATCCTGTGCCCATTTTTCTTTTCCCGTTTTCCCGTTTTCTTCAAGAGATGATGAGTTCTTCATAATGTGAAGATATTAATTTCTTGTCTGTCCTATATAGACTTTATTATTTCTTGCCTGGAGAAAATTTCTAGTTTTTTGTTGTCAGATACATCATTATTTTTTCTTCATGGCTGAGGAGTATTTTCCTCATTGTATCTTTCAAGTCTCTCCCAAACTGAGATTTCACAAATATGCCCCGATATTTTCTTCTGTTATTTTTATTGTGTTTTCTGTTTAAAATTTAGATCTTCAATCTATCTAGAATATTTTTTTTTCTGTAGTGTGAAGAAATAATAAGAAGTATCAATAAATTAGCTACCATTTACTGAAAGACTTCTATACCCTGGAGACTCTACAAATACTTTATATATTTCACATAGATAATAACATAAAGGATCAAAGAGATTAAGGAATCAGGCAATTTCACTCCGCTACTAAAGTAAGACTGAGATTTAAACTCAAGCAATTTTTACTCTGGATCTTCTTCTCCTAAATATCCAGATGAACAGTTAATTCTGCAACCCCATTGAGGATACATCCTTTCCCGTTGAACCAAAATACAAATTTCATGATACAAATTCTCAAATAAGGTCCTCTAGATTCCACTGCCATTGTGTCACAACTAAACTGTTTTGATTTTAGTAGTTTTGTAGTAGGTTTTGTTGTCTCTCTGGTAAGGCAAGTATTCTCTCACTACTTTTCTCAACCTACCCAATAAAATTTGCACATTTTATTCCATATAAACATTTAAAACATTTGTCCAGTTCCAAAAAAGTACATATTTGCATGTTTTGACTTGGACTACATTAAATGTGAGTTTTAATTTGTTAAGAATTTACATTTATACATTTACATATTCATCTCCCTATGCATAATGATATAATATTCCATTTATTTTGATCCTTTGATAAAATGTAAGAGTTTCCTTTTAATAGGATTCTTGTACTCATTCATGACTTATTTTATAATTTTTGTTATTTTTGTGAATAGAATATTTTCCCCATATAATAGGTAATTATAGAAGAAAAGGTAATTATTTGGGATATGTATCATATTCAGCAATTGAGCTAAAGTAGTTATTCTAACTGTTTTTAAATGAAGTTTGTTTGTTTTGCATTTTCTAGGTATGCTGTCAAACGTTTATTCTCTTTTCCAATATTGATACCAGTTGCTAAATTTATGAACAGGGGATCTTATTACATAAGTTAAAATCTTCAAAATACTGAGCACTAGTAGTGAACGTGGATACCTCAGTTTTGCCTTGATTATAATGGCAGTAGCTTTAACTTTGCACTCAATATATGATGTTGGTGACTGTAACTCAGTCTTCACTATGCTAAGATAGTTTCCTTCTTTTCCTATTAAACTTGTAATTTATTTTATTAGAAAATCTACTTAACTTTATTCATTTTTGTCTACTACATAATCTTTTTTTAATTTTTTTTAAGTTGTCAATGGACCTTTATTTTATTTATATGTGATACTAAGAATCGAACCCAGGGCCTCACACATGCTAGGCAAGCGCTCTACCACTGAGCCACAAACCCAGCCCTACTACCATAATCTTAATTTCTACTTTTAACTTGTTAGTAATAGTCCAGATTATTGTTATATTTTTTAATGTTACAAAATACTATAATTCTGGAATAGGTACCACTTGGTCATTTCTATCATCTCAAACCATTCCAAACCTTTTGGGAAAAGATAAGAAGTTATTTGGTTCACTGTTTAATATTACCATATCCTTAATGACTAAAACTTATGGGACATCATTACTCTAGGTACATGTATGATTGCATGAATGGTATGACCCTACTTCTTGTACAACCAGAGAAGTGAAAAATTGTGTTCCATTTGTGTTCAATGTATCAAAGAGCTTTCTACTGTCGTGTATTAGAACAAATAAATTTCTAGAACGAATAGATTAGAGCAAATACATTTTTAAAAAATTAAATAAATGAATAAATAAAAACATACCAGATGGAAAAAAATGAAAGAATAATTGTACCCCTGCAAATAGATGTGCATGTATGAATATATCACAATGCATTTTCATTAAAAGATAAATAAGGAGGCTGGGATTGTGGCTCAGTGGTAGAGCCCTTGCCTCACACACGTAAAGCATTGGGTTTGATCCTTAGCAGCGCATAGAAATAAATAAATAAAAGTATGTATCCATCTATAACTAAAAATATTTTTTTAAAAAAGATAAATTAAGTAAAAAGAAGAAAAATCAAGAGGAAGGGGATGGGGGGAGGGAATAAGGAAATTCAGGGGACTGAAATGAGGAAACTATGTTTTATGCATTTATGAATATGTCAAAATGAACCCCACTATTATGTATAACTATTATGCACTAATAAAAAATAAACACTTCTAGATAAAACATTATCAAATTCAGCAGTATGTTAAAGGAATGGTAGAAAAAGATATGGCAGTATAATTAGGAAACCTAAACTAGTCAACCAAAAAAATACCAGAGTAAAAGAACTAAAAAAAAAAAAACCAGCTAGATATACATTATATGTAAAAAGGCAGTAGCTATACATAAACAGCAGTTAGGACTCGGTATGGGAAAAAAGTACTATTCATATCATAGTTATACATTTAGTAGAATTTTTGAAGAAAAATGACTTGAGTGTTCTTCAGGAATTTGTTAAACATAATTTTGAAAAATGGAGATAAACATGGGTGGAGTGCTGTGTGCTACCTAATGATTAATTCACAGGAGACCACATAGCGATAGAGCTGAGGACCCAGGGTTGGCTCACTGTGGTCTTCCTTCCCTCAGCTGGGACAAGTACAAGGGCGCCATTCAAAACGATCCTGTAGTTTCCCAAGAAATTACTGATTAAATTTTGCTTCATGAGAGAATTCCCGGAGTTAATTCCCATTGTTTGGTCTCTGCATCAAAGCACAGGACTGATGTCCATTTTAAAAGTCTGTTAAATATTGGGCTGTCACTGTCAACTATTTTCTAAAAAGCTATACATGTAGCTTGGATAGAAAGTCCTCTGTAAAGAAAGAAACAGAAATGTGGTATATATATTCAGTGGAATACTACTCAGCTTTAAAGAAGAATGAAATTATGGCATTTGCCAGTAAATGGATGGAGTTGGAGAATATCATGCTAAGCAAAATAAGCTAATCCCCCCAAACCAAAGGCTGAATGTTTTCTCTAATATGTGGATGCTGATTCACAATAAGAGGGGAGCACTAGAGAAGAATACCTTTACCTTAGATTAGGTAGAGGGAAGAGAGGGGAGGGGAGGGGATGTGGGGATAGGAAGGGTAGTAGAACGAAACAGACATTATTACTTCATGTATATATATGACTGCATGACCAAGGTGATTCTACAACATGTACACTCGGGAACATGAGAAATTATATCCCATCTATGTATGATATATCAAAGTGCATAAATGCATTCTACTGTCATGAATAACCAATTAAAACAAATAAAAATTTAAATAAACAAAGGAGGCAGTTGATGCACTAAACCTGCAACCATGAAGAACAATGCTGGCCCTTGAGTATACACTCAGTAAATGTTTGTTGAATAAATGAATGAAACTAACTTTGACACAAAAGCTTAAATTATCAAATGTGTGCATAGCAAGTCTATGTTCGGTGCTACAGAAATTCCTTTGTGAAATTTAGAGTCCTACAAAACACATATGCAAATATAAATTTAAATAAACATGTAAGCAGTACCAAGTTCAAAAAGAAAGAAAAACGGGGTTGTCTTTTTCATTGGAAGTTTCCTATTTCTAGGAACACATGCATTAATTTATTAATTTAATCCCTATTTCTTGCACAGGACACAATGTACCAGGTGCTGGGACGGAGGAATAACACACCGCTGCCCTCAGGAGCTTACACACTAGTGGCTTCGGATGCACAGAAAGTGTGACCAACTCCACTGCTTTCCTTCATGAATAACAAAATGAAGTGCAATTGGTGAATGAAGAACTGATTATCTCCATGTCTCACTGAAGAAATAGGTTATTTTTAAAAAATTACAAACATATTTAATAACAGTATACTCAGTAATTGCTAATGCTACTTATAAGAAATTCCTATTTGCAGTCTGACTTTGCATCCTGCTCCCTCTGCTGCATCAGGCACAGGTTTTCTAAGTAGAGAGGGAAGCCGCATTTCCTCTCTGCCTTCTCTCTGGGGCTGAGGTCAGCCTTGGGCTGAAGCCAGCATGAGTCAGCTCCCCAGCATGGATCCCCTCTGCAGAGGCTGGCCTCACTACAGCTCCCTTGGAACACCTACCACAAGTGTCTCTGGGCCAGGTCAGCAGCGGGGAGCAGCGTCTGGTGGATCCCTGCCGGAATACAGAGAGAAAGACTTACGTGATTTCTAGGTGGGCAGGGTAGGGCGATCAAGCAGGATTCACTGAACTGTTCACATATTTGGTCTCCTCATTCTATTTTGGGAACAGCAAGGAAACAACTTAAAAGAAAAAAAAAAGTAATAGTACATAATAGTACAATTGGTAACAGGGATAAATTCTTAGCATCTCAAAACACTTCCAGTAGAGATCAGGATGAACCATCAGAGGTATTTAAAATAAAAAAGGATGTATACTATTCTATTTCAGGGAAATATCCACATTAAAATATCAACATTAAAAATAGAACATGAAATTCACACGTGGATTGTAATTACATTAAACGTCTGTAGGTATATTTTAAAAGATTAGAAGTTAGAATATTGCCAATGGTTTGGAATGTAACTAGGGTTTTTCTTTTTTCCCTAGAAATTCTTCACTTAAAAAAAAAAAACTTTTATGCAAATTAGAACAAATGGCAATTGACATTTTGAAGTACCAGAGCTATTCTTGACAGACTTACAAGAGAAGAGCAGAAGCAATTGCCTGCATGTTGGGATTTGTCAGCCTGTCCCCAAGTCCAGCTCCAAGTCCTGAGAAGTGGACCGGATTCTGCAGCCCCATCCCCTCCTGACAGATCACACTGATGTCACCTGTTCAGTCCACGCATGCTTCTCAGCTCCTCTGGGATTCTGGTCATTGTTCTGCATCCTCTTCCAGCAGATCTGGATGGGGCCTGCCGCGCATGGCCACCTCCCCACCCAAGGCTGACTGCTGGCCTTTTGAATTCACCTCCTACAGGGGCTTCCTCCCAGTACCTTCAGGTGGAGCTGGCCTGCACTTGACCCTTCCTTCCCCAGCAGTTAACTAAATGCCCAGACGTTCAACCCATTCCAAAAGTTCACCTCCTTATATCTCAATGGCTTCTTGTTTTTAGGAATCCCTATTACAAGTTGAACATGGGCTGGGGGTATAGCTCAGTTGGTACAGTGCTTGCCTCACATGCACAATGCCCTGGGTTCAATCCCCAGCACCACAATAAAAGGGGAAAAAAAAAGTTAAACACACTTGAGAATTATACCATTTTAAGTTAGTGTTTCATGATATTTCCATTGAGTTTGATGCACCTCACGTAAGGGGACATAGGAATAACAGAAATGATTACGTTTATTGGTACCTTTTTGTAGCTGGCATTTTTTAGACATCAGTCTTCACAACAATCTTGGAGGAGAGCCATGTGGTTTTCTTTTGCAGCTCAGAGAGGCTCAACAGCTCACCCGAGGTCACACAGCTGGTACAGGACAAGGTCAGACTTCAAACCTGGCCAAATATGACTTGAAAGCCAGGGCTCTTTCACCCACTTCTCACTGTGTACCTACCCTCTGCAGTCTCAGAGAAGGCACAGACTGAGAGTCATAGACCCAGCAGATTGTCCCTGACATCTTCATTTCTCTGGGCTTTGGTCTCCCTCATCTGTAAAATAAAGTAGTTGAACTTAAAAAGCTGCACAGTAGGAAGGAATAGAAGGTGCCAGGGAAATGGACAAAATGGGCCTCCACTGCACTTACAGACCCCTTAGAGGCCATCATAGGTCCTTGAGTGACACAATTCCAGGCAGTTACCTCTTCCCAGGGGAGAAGAGGAGAAAGGGCCAGGATTGGTCACACAGCCGAATTTTCTATCTGTCACACGACGAAACAAGCACAGGATGCCCCAGGTACAGGAAAAAGAGAATCCTTTCTGACAGACAGCTCTCTGCTGGGGAAAGTCAGGTAGAACCATTACTGGCCACCACCCTGGGTGCAGGATTGACTGGCAGTAAGGAGGTCCTCTTGGGACAGGACTCAGGGAAGTGAGATCTGAAGGTGCAAAACGGAGTGGTGGAGGAGATGCATCTGCCTCTATTTTTTTGCACTCAGAGCTAAATCATACCATCACAGACTCTGTCACCAAAGAAACCTGCAGAATGCAAACTAGAGGAAGAATTGTAGTTGGAATAACCACCCCCAGAAAAGGTCAGGCAATTAGGCATAAGTTGTTCTTTTTCCAGGAACTACCCCATCTGCAACCTTCCTGTGTCACCGCACACAGACACATAACCACCGCTTTTAAAAATGCAAGACCACACTTCCCTGAGTTTCTTATTGAGCACATTAGGTGAAGCGAAATCCAACCTCAATCAAGCTAGAAGCCATCTAATGTTCAGATTCCGCCCAAGGGCAATGGAGGCCGAACTCAAATCTTCCTCAATCCTCCCACACCCAAGTTTCCCAGAGATCTTTTCCTTCCTGAGCCTTTGCAGGTGGTGCTGGGCTGGATTCTGCCTTCGGATAGTTCTCTGGGAGGCTGTCAGGTCACGTGGCACCTGCAGGAGCTTCTGTGTTCCAGAGAGGGCACAAAGAGAAGGTGCTGGATACACCGAGGCCACTGTCCCCCAACTCTTCCTGTAGAACGGTGCTTGCTCTAGAGCTGTGTGTCCCTGTGAAATGTGCCACCTGATTGCTAGTGGCTTCTGTGTAAACCACCGTTTTAGCAGCCACCTGCTCAGCTATGCTCTCACTAATGGGTCAAAAAACCAGGATGTGGTGGTCTCCAAGGCTCTTAGGGCACTTGCAAAACTCCAAGCATCTTAAAACAGCCTTTCAGGAGGAGAATCTGCTAAGTGCCCAAAGCTCAGGCCATAGGCCCGGAGCGTAATATTTTTATACCTCTGTGGCACTACCGTATCTGCCTTGACATTTGCTTCTCTATTTCAGTAAAGGTGAAAACATGGTGAGACAGAATCCTAAACAGAGCTGCCGAGCTGCCAGGGGTGCTAAATGAGGCTATTAATAGAAGAGATTTGAGGAATTCTCTTTGATACAAACGACTTTGTTAGAATTGACCTTTAAAATTCAAATCAAACACTGCTACTCCTTCTCACCCTCACGGCCATGTTATAGGTGATTTCCTTCCAGATAAATGACTAGTCCTGCAATTCCACACGCCAGCTCCGAAAGGCTCAGCCAGGCAGGGGTGGAGGATGTGGCCAGCACCCTTTTTTGATGATGTTATGTTTTGAAGGTCTCCAAGTGATTGATCTTAGTGCAGAAGCCACTGCCCTTGTTATAAGAGATTCACAGCCAATGGCTTCTGTGTTTTCTATTTCTGGGTCAGTACTTCTGGGTCGTGGAGGTCAGTTCATTAGAGATGCTTCTGCCCGAGCAGCATCAATACACATATTCTGAGCTGAGCTTAACTCTGGGCTTAGCTTTTAGGGATAGTCTTTTTAATTATTCCATGAATGTTTCCTAAGTGTCAGGCACTCTGATGGGAGCTGTGGATAGGCGTGAGCTTACATTTTAGGAGAAGAGAAAGAAAGAAATATATAATACGTCACATATTGTATAATGTCAGATAAGGCAACTATGAGAAATATAAAGCAGGGTGAGGGGGCAGAGTGAGAGGGACCTCATCACTATCATGTCAGGGTGAACAGCAAGGTCTCTGGGAGGTGGCAATGTTGAGCAGAGGACTAAATAAAGGGAGAATGTCAGAAAGAAAAGGAGTTGAGGCAGAGGGAGGCAAAGAGAAACAGAGAGTGCAAGGGCCCTGGGGCAGCTGTCAGCCCACCAATGAAGCAGGAAGAGGTGCTTATTCTTCAGGGGAAAGAACACACGTCTGGGTTGTGAGCATGGCTGACAGGGCATGGGCTACTGACCAGGCCCCTCTGCCCTCAGCTGGGCCACTGTGAGAGGCCAGCCTGTGCACAGCCACTGGGAGCCTTTCCTAGCGGCACATGCTTGGGACTTAGCAGAACCTCAGGAAGGCTGGTGCTGACAGAGGAGAGGTCAGAATGAGGGAGAGCAGTAATGAGCAATCACAGTCTTAAAAAATAATCTTTTTCTTACCATATCTAAGCACCACCAACCGTGAAGGACAATTGTCAAGTCAGTCTCTCCACGGGGTTCCCCCTCCCATCTCCCAATAGAGGGACGGTTTTCTGCCACCAACTATGAGGCTGCTGTAGAATTTTAAAATCACATCAACCCTAGTGACAGGAACATTCCAACATGGAGACTTGAGGCTGGCTCTTCCCATGCCTGTCTCATACAGGGAAACCCCCTCCGCCCCCTTTCTAACCCTTCCTTTATTTGTACTCTTGCTGGTCTTTTCTGAGCAATGTGTTATATGCAGCCAAGTCAAAACAGCCCAGCACAAATAACTGATACTTAATATTTTTTAAGTTAAAAAATCCAACTAAAACACATTTTCATCATTCCTTTGTTCATAAGAAATCCCTATCTTTATGAAAGGCTTTTCTTCTCTGCCTTATTTCTGAATTGTTTAAAATGTCTGACGATCGTCTTGACAACTCCATATCCAATGATTTAATGTTAAAATTTTTTAAAAAGAATTTGAGAAAACAAAGTATGATGTTGTGTTTGTATCTGGCAGACCTGTGTTAGTTGGTCTCCGCTAAGTGGGGGTTGAATTTGATGTCCACAGTTATAAAGCATGCTCATTACTGAGGACCCTGTTAGAAATGCTAACTGAAGATTTCAACGTACTCTGGAGCTGGGAGTATGGGATGGAACTGTGGCCCACAGAGCCATCCATTCCCACTCTCCTTCCCTCCCAACATACACCAAATTAAATCAGGTTACTATAATCAGGAAGCCTGTTGAATGCAGGAGTTGGCCATCCGTGCAATTTAAAGAAGAAATGAAAGAAAGATCCACTGTCCAGCATCCACCCCCATTTGCTAATTACAAGTAAGCGAGCAAGGACACTGTTAGTACAAAGGAGAAATCAGTGAATATGAGATGGGCGCTAAGGGAGAGGCAGACCATCCTCCAGGATTGATGGCTTTCCCAAAGACAAATGTGTGGATGTCTCGTGACGCTTAGTTTTGCCTGGTTCATTTGTCAGATGGCATTTAACCTTCACCCCAGCCCTGACCCTATCCCCATGGGGGTCAGGGCTGGGGTGCAGGTGTCTGTAGAGCACATTACTTCAAAGTATAAAACATCCAAAGCTAATGGCATTCGGAGCAGCATTAAAGTTCCCAGTTTCAAAACGGCTGCACCCGGTGAGTTCTCACAAAAGGGCTGCCTTCAAACATGGTGGAGCCATTGCCCCTCCAGTGGAGAACAAGAACAATTCTGATTTGGCTCCACTGTGCTCCAATTCACTCCTCTGCTCTTCTACACGTGGGGTTCCTAGATCCAGCTCTGTGCCCCTAGTGCTGATTAGGGCCTGCTAAGTACACAATTGGGGACTATCTCCCAAATGCTCACCATGGATCCACCCAGTAAGCCCTCCCCAGTGCCGGGAAGTGTCTAGACAGGGAATTACGTGGGTATGAGAATGGAGTAGCTCCAGTTGAGGTTGGTCAGGGCAGCAATGGAGGGATCAAGAGCACACCACCACCAAATCCATTTTGACCCAACTTCCCAGAACCCAAGGCTCAAAGGAAGCTTGCCAATGGGTGACCAGGAGAATAAGCATGTTCCTAGAACATTTGTCCTTGTTCAATGTGGAGAAATGACTTAAGTGTACTGAGAAGACACATCGGTCTCCCCAAATGCTTATGGTTTGGACACAAATGGGACTCCAGATGAACACAAGGTCACCGAAACACACTCTTAAAACAATCAATCCACCTAGGATACATACAACACCTTCTATTAGTCTAGTGATTGGCACCTAGATAATTATGTTCACAAATATTTTCAACAAATAGATATTAACCTGCCACAGTCTGGCTGGGCACAAGATCACGAACCACTCACAGCTTTGTAGATTCAAACAGCAATTCTTTATTCCTGAACTCACACCGGTCCTCTACAAACACGTTCTGGGGAAATTCAGGTTCTGCCCGCAAAATTCACGTACTCCACCAGGCTTTGAATCCCAAATACTTTCTGAATCCCATGAGAACTCAACGGGAACTCAGGCAGCAGGATACGCCCTATTCCCAGCAAGAATAACCTTAAACCTGGAACCGCCCTAAACCCAGATTGTCCTAAACCCGGAACGCCCTAAACCCAAGGAGCGAGATACTCCCTTAAACCTGCAGGACACACCCTAAACCTGGATCCGCCCTAATCCAGTAGGATCCTCCCTAAACCCGGATCTATCCTGGTCCTTGAGCAGGGTCACCTTTCTCAAACATACATGCAATGTCACAGCGAATGTCCAAGGCAAGTCCATTTCCACGAGTCCTTCCTCTAAGCAACATGGGGTACGCTGGCAAGGAAATTTCAATGCGTCATTCCTACTTGGCAATGGCTCTCAGCATTAACCCTCAAAAAAAAAAAAAGAAGAAGAAGAAACATCATTACATTATAGAACTAATCAGAACCTGCGACAAGTAAGTTTCATTGAGGCCCAAGCTGAGCCCTGTAACAGAGATGCCCTCCCCTCGAAGTCAAGTGTGTGATGAGGTAACAGGATACTTCCCTCCTGTACCAGTCAGCTGCTCTAATTGATAGTATTGTGATAAATGCGAAGACTATCTGTGAAATCACAGAATCTGCTCTTTGCCTCTGTGCAGCAAGCCTCTGGGATCAACAGATGTTCCTCCTTTAGACGATGACACTTGTTATACTAAACGTACCTAATCACACCCAGGGTCACTTTCCACGTGTGCAACTGCCCTATCTGGCATGGTTCTTTGGGGGGACTTTCAAACCAGACGCAGACTCAATAACCCTTACGGCTGACCTTTGGGCCAAGATGCAACAGTGTGTGTTTCTCATCAACAGCACTCCTTTAATTATTAACAAGATTCTCCAATAACGACCATGATAAAAGAAAAAAAATTATGATGGAAGAGGATAAGTCCCTTTCCTGGAAATGTTCAAGGTAAGCTCCGTAACAGCTTCTCAGGAGCAAGTGCCTATGAAGGAAAGGTTGAGGGGATTGGAAAGAAAAGCACTGGACTCCGGCTCTGCCACCGGGCTGCTGAACCTCTCTGTGCCTGTTTTGTTTTGTTTGGGCCTAAAAATGGGGAGAATGTGTTCACCTTGCCACCTTGTCCAGCTGGCCTCCGCCTCTCTCCCAGGTCCAGGGTGGATTCCCCCTCCTGACTCTCAAGTCACTGGAAAGAGGTTTTGGGGGGGTCACCATCTGTTGTGCATACTAAACACCCAACCCGTTGTGACTGGGATTTTTTTTTTTTTTAATCATCACAATAAGCTTTTCAAAGGTTAGAACCTAAAATCCTAGAATCTTAGAATAGGAAGACCACTTAGTTCCTAAAATCCTCTAGTCTGACTCTTCTTATTCATGGTAGCTGTTTTTGTTTATTAATTATATGCTATTTTCTGATACTGTACAAACAAGGGCAATGGACTATGGAGCAGAGGTCAATAAACAATTCCCATCACCCACCCTTCTCAAAGTGTTTTGACCCTTCCCTGGGCCTCAATTTATTGCCTATCAATTACCCCCATGGACTACCTATTAAAGCTTCATATTGAAACTGATGAGACTTACACAGAAATTGTAATCTTTTATTCTTCAGCTTAGTCTCCTGTGCGCCCACTTTGGAGACCCCGGGTAGTAAAAAGGAGAATGAGCCAAGATTGGGGCATGTGACATTGACACTACATGGAAACTTCAAAGGAAAAACATCCTCAACAAATCTTCCTTAGCATTTCTTCAAGAGAGAAACGGTCAGGGAACAGGCAGGAATAGCGCTTTCTCTCCAGTTTCCAGCCCCCCCTCTCTGACTTTCCAATCACACTTGTCCCCAAAGATTGTCACAGTCACTTCTGATGCCATAAGATTTTCTACCACTAGGGAGCTCATGCCCTGTTGTTTGGCTGTGACCCTGTCTGACCTGGGAGAGTGTGGTGGACACTATCGTGGCTACTTTCAACTTGGAGAAAAGAGAAGCATTTTGTTGAGACTGTATATTCTGAAGACAGGGATTGAACCCTCGAGTTCTCTTTCTAAAGATTCTTGCGTGCAATTAACTCTTAGGTCCATTGTGGTTTATTGTTTACTTGCTTGGCTCATTGTTTTCTGGCTAACGTGAGACTAAAAAGTTATTTCCTCTGGAAAATAGGTGTCTTATTAGCAACTGGCATGTTTTTCTGCAGATTTTACAGGTCACTAATTGTCCTTATTAGAAAACATCAAATTTACTGTGAAATTTTATATATGCTTCATTTCATTAGAGAGAACCACAAAGACACCGATAGCTGGTCTAGAAGAAAGTTACTAAAGCAAATCAGATTAGAAAAAGCGTTTATCCAAGTTTGCCACACAGCCAACATATGATTGCATTTTGCAGCCAGGGCCCCACAGGACGCTGATGTACAAAATTTCTACAGAACTACCAAAACCATGTTTGCAGCCTCCATTTGGCAAGCTTTCCTTCGAGAACTCGAGCTGGTTTCTGTGTCCAGACTCCAGCACTGGCTTTCCACACACACCTTGAGGGGCAGGAGGTGGCAATCAGCACATTGCTTCTATCTGTTCAGCCAAACCCAGCAACGTAAGCCTGGTTCTCACTGACAAGAGGCAGACAGTTTACTGGAATTAAAACAAACTACAAAACCCAGCTTTGGTGGGAGGTGGGGAACACGTTTTTATATCACAATTTTTAAAATTAAGAGACATTAACCCTATAGATGGGTACTAATTCAGGAACAATCACATTGCTATTTTATAATGAAAACCTTTTATAATTAGAACACTCTTGCTGTTTCCTTTATTCCTTTTTACTTAGCTTTGTCAAGATACAGCAAGGTTAGCTGTCTGGGCTCTGCACCAGTGAATGTTCATGAACACCTCTCACTGCGTGGCTGTACTTGACTTTGCACCTCCCATGGGACAAGGATATATGAGAAAGGAGAAAGGCAGAGACCATGAAGGATTTGTGATCACTTACAAGAATGTTGTGACAGGGTGCTGATTGTTTGACTTTATAAAATAACGACTTTTTAAAAGAACACTATACTTTATTAAGAGTCCATTCTGCCATTCTTAGATGCAATGATAAATGTTACCTAGCTAGAGATGGTGCACACTCATTTACAGCCAATTCCATTATTTTGCTTGACATGAACTCTTTATTATATTTTTTCCAATTATGTAAGTGAGCTGATCATGCAACAAAGAGGTTGCTAAATGTGGGAATTATTATAAGATCAACATTTTTTACAGGCTACAGCTTAGGCTGTTTGTGGAGTGACAAAGAGAACATGAAAAGAAAAAAATTTTTTTTCCCTGTCTGCCCTGGATTCAGGTTTATCATTCCTAGGCTTGAATTAAGTGCCTGAATCTTAATCCCTTTCACAAGTTAGCAAGTTAGCATGGGCCCTCCGTCCAGATGTGAAAGGAAATTAGATTTCACTTTAAAACAGAGAGTGGGAAACCAGAAAACACTAAAACAAAATACTGGTTAAATAAATGCAGCAAACCTTATTTATTAAAATCCATTAATCAGGAATATGTGCTAGGTCAGACACAAGACCAGAGTTTCCCTTTGGCCTAATTGTGTAAGAGTTTGCTAAATCAATTACTAGTGGAAAATATTTCAGAGAGAAGGCCAACACTTCTAAAGAGACTGTTAAGTAATTCTAGACATTTTCAATACAGAATGATATCCCAGTTATAAATAATTTTTATCCATATCTTAAAGCCACCTTGAGCCTCTCCTAAGTAAATCTTCCTTAACTTACTTACAGGATTTGCTGTAGTTAGAAAGGTAGCCTTTTATTCTTGAAATGAACTTAAAAATGAAAATTGAAAACTTTTCCTAAATCATTCCTTTCTTCCCTACTGTTTCTTTTGAGTAAAAGGAGTTGCTGGATGTTCCAGATGAAATACATGAAATCTAGAAACAGCATACCTGGGTTCGGGTTCCCCTTCTACCACTTAGGCCTGTTCTTTATGGTCAAGGGTGCCTCCATTTCCTCTTCTGTAAAATGGGATGCATGATACCTAAAAGATTTGAAAACTCTAAGGTGCTTAGTGCTTACTGTCGCCTGTACCACAGGTTAGAGATCAGTTAAACTCAGCCATACCCCCAGGGTATCACTGAGAGAACTTTTTAGAACACACAGGTTGTTGAGCCCCTCTTTCTTCAAGGGTCAAGGCACCTTTCCAAATCACTTGGAGTCTTCGAATCTTTTGTTCTTACCTCCAGCCATCCAACCTATCCTGCCAGGTACTCCTGGTTAATTATGCATAAGTTTTACCCAAGCCTGCCATGTCTCTAGGAAATGATCTTGCTTTCTCTCTTCAATTCGTGCTAGAATGCACCTGCTCCCTGAGGTCTTCTTTCATCCACGCCCTCCCTTGACTCCAGCGCAGCTCTGCTTGGGAATCCCTTCTTAATAAATTCCTCGGATCCTAAGACGTTTTCTGAATCGCCAGGTCGTCGTGTGAAGTTTTTCACTAAAATGCGGAGGTTCCAGCAACCCTTCCTGAGCTGCCGGACTCCAAACAAGAATCCTAGTTACAGACGCAAGAAGATGGGTGGTGAGCTGTGGCTCCAATGGCTGGTGAGCACAAGCGGAGGGTAGTTTGGGGACGGTTCCTCTGGACAGGACAAGGGTGAGGGAAATAGGAGGATAATGACGCACCTGAATAAGTCCGCTAGGGGAAAAGGGATAAATATAAGGCTCGGTGTAGTGCTTGGAGTGAAAGGCCGACACGCATGCACGCAAGGATGAGCGAGGGGCAGGGAGAGAGAAGCAGCACCAGGTATCTGACAATGACAAGGCTCGGATCCGGACCCGGTAGCAGAGCCCCCGCCCCGCGTCCCCGATCTCCGCAGTGTCCCCTCGCGGGCCACCTCGGGAGATGACTGTCAGCGCATCTCTCCGCCCCGCGCGGGCCCGGGCGCGCCGTCCCTCCCCTCCCCCGCGGCCGCAGCTCCCCGCCCCCTGAGAACGCGGCTCCCCAGTGTCCTCTAGAACGCCCGCGTGGCTGTCGGGTTTCGAATCCCAGAGCCGACCCTCACCCTCGGCCGGAGCGGCTGAGCCGCCGGCCAGCCTTTGCCCCTCGCATCAATCATTAACGGGTCGGCCTGGGCTGCGGAGGCCCGAGAAGGGGGATGGTACGGAACTCGAGACTGGGGACAACTCTATCCCCCGCGGCGGCCGCGAA